CGGATGCCGAGTCCGGCCGAACGCCTCCGACCACGCTCGGGGCGGAGGCAGCAGGGACGGGGCTGGGCGGGACGTACCAACAGCCCCCCGGGGGAGGACATCGTGGCACCCCCTCCCACCAGCCTCCCGCGCCGCCCTCGATACTAACGGGAACCCCCCGGCGCGCGGGGCGCGTCTGCGMGTCCCACAGAGCGGAGTGGGGAAGGCGAGGGCGAGGCGACTCGCCCCGGGGCGGGGGGGAGGTGGTGGGGGTCGCGGTGGAGGCGCACGGCACGCGCGTCCCGCCTTCCCCCGGCCCCCCCTCCCTGCGGCGGGTGGTGCGGCCCGCTCTGAGAGGGCGGGAGCGGCGCGCCCCGCCCCGCTCAGTGACACAGGCACCGTCTGAGGAGGTGCTGGCGGCGCGGGCAGCGGGACSGACCGGGCGTCGTAGCGGCGGCGACTGCGAGCCGAGCCCGGAGCATGGCAGGGGCTGGAGCCGCTGCGGAGGCTGCTGCTGGTTTCCCCGCTTCGCCGCCTCCTCCCGCCCGCCGGGAACTTTTCCTAGCGGCCGGTRGCGGTGCCTCCCCCCGGTGGTGGCAGCGGCGGCGGCGGCTGCTGCGTTCGGCGGTGTCTCCCGGGCCGGGGCTGGGGCTGCTGGGGCTGGTTTTCTCTCGTTTTTGCTGCAGTAAGTGGAACTTTTCCCCTTGGCGGACGGACGAGGGGGCGGGTGGAGGAGGAGGAAGGGGAGAAACCCGAACCCCGGCAGCGCCCAGGGACGCGGCCGAGTTGAGGGAAACTTTGTGTGGCGCCTTGCGGCGGGGAGGGGTGGCGGGGGCTGCCGGCCGCCCTGCGCGGGGGGAAGCGGGTGGGACGTGGCCGGGATGGCGGAGGAGGGAGGGATGCGAGGCGGGGTCGGAGCCAGAGCCTGCACGGAGACCCAAGGGCGCTCTCCCCCGGGAACACYCGCTGCGGCCGCCGCCGAGGCAGTGGGTGTCCCGGGAGGCCAAGTTTCTCTGGCGGTCAGACTGAGGTGGCCGCGGCCCGGGTAGGGCATCAGGGGAAGTTTATCCGCCGGGAYTGGGGCTTCCCCCGGCGGACGGCAGGTTTTCCGCTGTAATTCCCGTCCTGAGCGACGGGATTTCGCTTCTTTGCGGGAATTTACGGGCGCTTCCTCCCATTCTCCTTTCCTATCCTGTGGGAAGGACAGAAGGGTCTTGGTGTTACCGAGTGCGCCTGAGGGGCAGAATAGTGGGCGCTTTGCTTCTGGCGGTGTGGGCTTGTGTCGTTGTTCCCTCTCGCTGAGGGTGAACCCTGTGCTGGTTTCGGTGTTGGGTCGCTCGCCGCTGCTGCTGAGGTTCGGGATTGTGTCCTCACTCTACATCACTCGCATCCTGAGCAGCTGCTGCCGGGGGCACTGCGGTGCGGGGCCCCGCCGGTCTTGGCGTGACCACTCGCAGGAAAATGCCATCACCGGCCCTCCCTTCCAGTGCATGTTCCTGTGGGAAACAAATAAGCAACGTAGCAGTTGGAAACTGAGCAGT